ATATACTTTTAATGCGTATACAAATTTAAAGGAATTTATGCAATACTTTTTAATAAAAAAATTTTGTTACTTATGAATAAATACACTAAACAAAAGGAACTTTCATAAGAAAAATAAATATACTTTTCTAAATAAACTTTTCGCGATGTTTTCAAATGTGCAATTGAACTTTTTCTATTACTTCTAAGTTTTAATATTATTACTTATTATTAAAAAATAAGTATTTACATATAAAAAAAAATAATTAAGAACAAAAAAAATTGTATTAAATTAATACTGATTTTGATTTTTAATATGTTAAAGGTAATCATTTTGAACCTATTTTTTATTGTCTTTTAAAGTGAAAGTTTTAATGAAAAATACCTTCTCAGCTTCGCATCGAAGCTAAAAAATGAATTTGTTACCATAACTTATAGTTCAACTTGCAAATTTGAAATTGACATTATTAAATTGAAAAAAATGAAAATTTTAATATTAATATGCAATCTGGAAATTTTATAATTACTAATTACAGTACATTTGTCAGAAAAATTCGATTTTTTTGCATTTTTATTGTAATAGATAACTGAAATAGAAAGAATAGTAATCATATCCTAATAACTTTTGATGTTTAAAAAATTCTGCAATTGAAATATTCAGAACTTAATTAATTTTAATAATTTACTTTAATTAAATGAACCAATCAAACCAAAGTAGTTAAAAAGATTTACTCAATTGAGCATATTATCAAAAATATAATTATAATTGTAAAACTCCATCGTTAACTTCAGGTGAAACTAAAAATCATTTTTTTTTTAAATTTATGATTTATATAGCAACATATTACTAAAAAATTTGGCATATTATAGACTGGTAGTAGCACACAGAAATAGAGTTAAAAAATTAATAAATTATAAAGTAAAATTATTTACTTTTGTAGTTGAATACTTTTATCATATCAAATTTAATTCGACAATAAATAATTTAAGAATATTAAAAATTAATGATTTTAATTGTTTGTATGGACAAATCTAGTTAAGCTACTTTTTATTTGAATAAGGAATATTTTTTTGATTTTTAAGAGTAATAACTTAAACTAATCATTAACTTAAATATCATAAACTTAAATGAATCATTTGACGTATCGTTGAAAAAAGTAGGTCTAGTGAGGGTTGGCAAAATAAATCGTAGCCAGAAAAAGAACCACATAGTAAAATAATATTAACATGAATATCAATTTCTTCTCACGAGGGGAGACTATAGTGATAAGATCCTTTATATTTATTGAAATTATTGAATCTAAATGAGATAAATATCAAATGATTTGAAAATTCTATTCTAACTCAAAAAAAAAATGCAAAATTTTAGAAGCCACAAACGGATTTGAACCTCGTACCCTAGGCGTTAAAGATCAAGGTGTTACCCATTCGGCAACTATTCGTTGATTTTTGTTGCATGATAAAATTGGCTATTTAAGCTAACTCAAATTTAAAAATTACTTTTTCGACTTTAAAAAAGTAAAAAATGTTAATAAGTATAATATCATATGTCTTATGAACTTTATTCTATGTCAATGAAATTATATAATATTCATGAAAGTCAGTTTATTCCCCTAATAAAATATTTTAAAATAAAATAAAATACAAAACCTAGAATTTTAATAAAAAATAGCATATTTTTAAATACGGTAGCCTTTTGCGCATAGAAGATAGGTCGTCGGGACAAATTTTTTTTTTTCATTTAGTAGTACATAAAATAAGCTTTAATTTGATATATGTTTAAAGGACGCAGTATTTCCGGAACATTTTCAAAAATTAAGTTGAAAAAGTTAGTTTTTGTAAAAAAGTTGCTATTTTAAATCCCCCCTGTGAGCAGAATAAGTGTTAGATTTTCAAAAAAAAATGATATCAAATGAAAGAAAATTACCTAAGGTTTCAATATAAAGAAATATTATTTTGATTAGTTAATATTTGAAAAAGTTAAGGGAGTTTTAAGTACTATTCTCAATACGTATTTCAATGTTTAATACCGTAAAATAATACTTGAAAATTCAAATTTTCACAAACTTCAAAACGCTACAGATTATTTACTACTCAATATTAATAAGATATTTTTTTACTAAAATTTTTCTTAAATTCTACTCTACAAAATAGCTATCTTAGATTTTTTTTTTACANCTTAAATTCTACTCTACAAAATAGCTATCTTAGATTTTTTTTTTACTTTTTATTTAAAATTTAAAAATAATTAATATTTTTAATAAAATGTAAAAAAATTAATTATTGAGATATAGCTATAGACCTAACGTATAACTATTATTTAAAAAAAAAATATTAACTGGATCAAAAGTTATTTAAGTTGTCAGTGAGTGGTGGGCCATCCTGTATATATATTTATACATTCATATACATGTATTATATTCATGTATTACACTTATAAATCATAAAATTTGTAATCAGAATATAAATAAGGAAATAGGAGATCATGTAGCTTTTAGAATAATCCACCAATATTTTAAAATTAAACACTATCTACAGATTTACATGAAGCTTTTTTTATGATATTGATTTTAATCATTCTCAGATATCATCTATACTGGACCTAACTATGTCACGTCCTCCTTGTGCTACGAACCCACTTGGCTGTTTCTTTTTTAAATACAATTTTATTTATAGAGTCAATAGAGTATCATTGATATTAAAGACTCCAATAACATTGATAAAAGCAGTAGAACCAGTAAAGCTCTTTTAAAAATTAATTATAGCCACATTTAACCTGGCTTTTTCAAAAAATGAGTTGTAAATTAGCGCTACAAATTTTTAGCAATACAATGTCCGCAGTGATAAAAACATGTATAAATACCGGACATATTAAATAGTCAAAAACTGCTGCTACTGTAGACTTTCTTAAAGACATGAACGATTTATTTGACGTTCTTTACAATACAAAACTTTTTGATAAAAATCCAATTTTTTGTACTTTATATAGTAAAAATCTTAATCAATTAAACTTTCTAAAAAAGCCAACATTATAATTAGTGACCTTAGATTATCACAACTTATTAAAAGATATGGATTAAACCTCCATGTTTTGATGGTTTGCTATGGAGTATAAACGCTGTTATTATGTTATTTGAGAGCAACAGAAAAATTTAGGTTATGATTATTTAATAACTAGAAGGTTAAATCAGAATGTTTTAGAAAACACTTTTTCAGTTTATCGTCAAAGGGTAGGTTTTAATAAGAGTTCTACGGCTAGGACTTTCAAGACATCTTTTAGAATTCAAGCTAATCACAATTTAATGAGAGCATCTGAAACCTTGAATTGTAAGCTAGATGTTGACACCAATATTTTTAATTTACCTTTATCTCCCATTGACGAGACTAACGACGAAACTAAAACTGAAAATCCTATCGATTCCGATTATAGTTTAGGCACATCTGAAATACCTTTTTCTCTAATTCCTGTCCTATTATACAACAACAACTGACCACTGTTTCTACATTAACTTTAGTGGCCTGCTCAAATATAGTTTTGCTGGATACCTGGGTATAAAATTTTTAGGTAAATTTTTATGTTAACTATACAAAAATAAATTTTTGAAAGAGGATACAGATCTTTTTAGTAATAAAGAATTTTTATTTTTTTTAAAACATTTCAAACACAAAATCAAATAATTACTTAAGTTGAAAAACCTACAGAAATTTTAATAAATTTTGTGACTCAACAGATAATTAATCATTTTTTAAATGAAAAGTTGTATACAACCAGTGGCGTATTTTGGGGGGGTGTCCTCCATGTCTGGACACCCCCCGACTTAAAAAAAATGCCTAATATATTGGTATTAACTTTTTTTATAATATACTATATTTATTTACTATAAAATAAATGGTATTTTAAATAAATAACAAAATTGAAGATAATTTGATAGGATTCGACGACACATATTTATCTACATTTTATCAGAGATTTCTAGAAATTATTTGGATTTCATTGGGTCTTTTAGATAACAAAAATACCCGTAGCAAAAATATAATAACAACGGAAATATTCTGAACTTGTAGTTCATTTTTAAATTTATTTTATAGTTTATCAGTTTAGAGAATTATAAACAAATAAGTTTAGTTACCCCTATTCAATATACCGCATTCATAAAAAATACAGAAANGTATTATTATAATTAATTATGTTTAATAAATAATCTTTTTTTATTTAATTTTACATAAAATAAATAGATTAAATAACTAATTACCTTTTTCTTTCTCTGGTACTTTTATTACTTCAATAGTGGACAGAGCAAGTCAATTTACGTCATTCGGCGTATTTAAGGTCAAAGGATTCGAACTAACTTTTGGCTCTAAAATAATTTATGTTTAAAAATATTACATATTTGTTTCAAAAATCAAAACTTCATATTTTTTAAAAATGAATTATATTTTAAAAGTTGTATACTTTTTATGACTTTTTCATCTTCTTCGGATGAATTTCTTTTTAAATTTGGTCGAGCAGTAGTATTAGAAGATATCTCAAAAAGTTGTTTTTTTATTTCGGATTTTTTGCGTTCCAAATTTTTCTTATGAAAACTCTTAACGGATCATAAAAATATATTTAATTATATGATAAATTTATTTAAGAAATCTGCTTTAAGTCCAAAAAATGGTTTAGGGTATACCCTAAAATCTTTTTATTGAAATAAAGCATAATAAAATATACCTTTTCTAACAAATCAGCTGATATTAATAGCGGATTGTCTTTTGAAATTGCTATATTTTTTTTTTCTGTTGAATTTAAAATTTCATTTTTATATTTTTCAGATTTTTCATTCTGAAAAAGTGTTCCGAATTCTCTTTGCTGCATCATATTCTAGGTAACCAAAGAGATATTTAAATAAACAAATAAACTATACTTAATATTATATTATTATCTTCGATAAAAATTGAATTTCCCATAAAAATCTAATAGAAAAAATAGCAGAATAATATTAAACATTATGTTATTGCATTTATATTAAAGGGATTGATAGTTTATTTTATATTTTTGAATCAGACAAACCCCAATAACATAGCTAAATCGAATAAATATATTAATATAATTATAGTTACCAATTTTTCTGGAATAATTTTATCATTTTTATTCGTTTTTCGATACGTGCGTTTTTTTGGAATAATGGAATTTTTTATAGGATAAATATTTTTATTAATAATTGCTGCAAATTGAATATAATTTTAATAATTATTAATTAAATAATCAATTTCGAAAAAGGTTTTTAATATTAAAATAGTTAAATTAAAGTAAAGCGACTGAATTATTGTTATATATGAATAAGAGAACTTATTATTAATTTTTCTTATATTTTATATTAAAAAACTTTTTCTCTATTCGAAATAGTTAGTTTAATTATTAATCTTAATAGTGTTTACAGATAATTCTTCCATCTTTAGTTGACTTTTTTGATATTTGTCCTTTATTTGTATTATTTAAAACACAATTGGAATGCATGAAACGACGATTCCATATTTCTTCAACTCTGCGTATGACCTTATGTAAGTTTGATTCATTTGTTTGACCAAAAATATTTTTTTCACTTGCCATATCAATAACTAATTAAATAAATCTTAATAATTACACAAGACGATAGTTTATTTTTCACGGGAAAAAACGAAGTGAACTGAAATGTCGATAAAATCAACATTTACATCTAATTGTCAAGGAAACTTAATTGTAAAAATTCATTAAAAAAATGTATAAGCCAATTATAAATAAATTTAGTATAAACAATACTTATTTATTTTAATTGTATTATTGGTCAAAGAATACAATATTTTAAGAATAATACAGAGAATTATCAAAAAAAAAAAAAAATATATATATATATATTTTAAAGATATTTTGAAGAAAAACCTTTTGTATTTGTTTGTTTATTTATTACATTAGTTTACAAATGATAGAGATTTTTTTATGAAAGTTCAAGTGGAATAAATTTGATATCGGTTAACAGAATATTTATGCATATAAAATTTAATCTGTATGAAATAAAATATCAACGTTTGGATTTATTCTCTTGCAACTATTAAAAATTTTGCCCATGTGAAATTGCTATTTCCATTTAGTTATTAACAAAAAACATCATGCCATGCGATTATAATCAACATAAAAATTTATTAAGTTGAATATATAATATAGTTTAACAATTTAATTAATAATTGAATTAATGACATAATAATTCTGATAAAAGAAAATAACAGGAGATTTGAATTAATTTTAACGACTTTAACAAATCGAAAATAACTTTAGGGTTTAACTACCTTATAGGTTTAATTATTATTTGCATTTTTAATGTTATTATTATTATTATTTTTTTTTTTTTGACAATAACGGCTATCTTTGTAACTTCAATATATATCAAGAAAATGACAAATTATCCAAGAAAATCAAGGAAATTTTAGAGAAATATTAAGACACAGAGCCCAAGAAGATGACCGTTTAAAATCATTTTTGGAAGCTGAAGAAACAATAAAATATACAAGTGAAACACTTCAAAATGAAATAATTGAATCCTGTAATAAAATTATTTTAAATAAAATCGTAACAAACATAAATGCCCAAAGATGTTTCAAAATACTTGCTGATGAAACGGCCGACATTGGTGGAAGCGAACAAGTAACTTTGTGTGTTCGATATTTAGATGTTGAAAATATGATTATCAAGGAAGAATTCTTCAGTTTGTGCCTACAACAGATACTACTGGAAAAGGTTTATATATTATTATTCAAAGTTTACATTCATTTGGTGTAAAAACAAAATACCTTAGAGGACAGTGTTACGATGGATGTGCTTCTATGTCTGGTCAATTTAACGGAGCTCAATCTCTTATTCACCAAAGTNTCTGGTCAATTTAACGGAGTTTAATCTCTTATTCACCAAAGTTATCCGCTTGCGACGTTTGTTCATTGTGCTGTTCATGTTTTAAACCTTGCTATTTCTTATTCATCTTCTATACAAGAAACACAAAATTGATTAGGAACAACATCTAAAGTTAGAGATTTTTTCATATACCCAAAGCGAAAAGATGTGTTGAAAAGTCAAATCGAAGAAAGTCAAAAATGTATAACTAAAAAATCATTAAAACAATTATGTGCGACTAAATAAGTTGAACGTTTTTAAGCTTTCAATGATTTTATTGAGCTTTTTGTGTACCTAATTGAATCGTTATTTATAATTTCGAAGTGGAATGACACTGAAACATCATCAAAAGCAAGTA